GGGTGTTGATGACGTCCCGATCCTGAGGGCGGCTAAGCGGCCGCCAAAGCTGCATGTACCCACACATTTTAAAAATGGCGTCAGTAGCACGTCTTAGAGTGACCTTTTGGATGACAAGCTTATTGCGGACGGTCCACAGCGTCCAGGCGAGGACCCCAACGCAGAGCCAACGTATATGTCGGTAGCGAGGGGGGGAGGCATGGATCTCCGCGAGAAGGTCAGGGAAATTGGAGTTGCACCATTGTCCACCAACCGTCTCGCGGAAGTTGGACCAAAGAAACTGGGCCGTGGGGCATGCGAAGAAGATGTGGTTAGCATCCTCCACCGTGTCGCACATAGGGCAAAGCCCGTCTCTGGGTCCGTTACGCTTGAGGACTTAGACTCCGGAGGGGAGGCGGCCACGGATCCATTGCCAAAGGAAGATCCTAATCTTCAGTGGCAAGCGAATATCCCAGATCAAACTGAAGGGCTCGGGGGCGGGCGAAGGCGCGATGGCCGCGTACAGGGACCTAGTCGAGAAGCGCCCGGAAGACTCTAGGCGCCACGAGATGGCGTCCGGGGCGTCGGTGACGCGCATCGGGAGAAGGGCGATGTCCTGGAGGAGGGCATCCCAGGCGGCTACTTCGGGAAGGCCAAAAGGGCGACGAAACGTGAGGCGCCCTAAGCCAATAAGGGCCGTCTCAACAGAGATCCGAGGGTCAACTACAATGGCGAAGAGTTCGGGAAAGCGGGCGGCCAGAGGGGTGTCGCCGATCCACCGATCAAACCAGAACAGGGTCGCGGACCCAGTACCAACCGAGATGGACGTGCCAATGCGAAGCACAGGAAGCAGCTGAACGATGGCCTGCCAAAACTGTGATCCGCCCGAACGCTGACAGAAAGCCAGAGGCTGTCCACGAAGGTATTTGTTCTAGATAATGGTGAGCCACAGCCCTCCGTCCCCATTAGCAATACGCCATAGCCACCGGGTCAGGAGGGCGATGTTCATGCGGCGGGAGGAAAGAATCCCAAGACCCCCCTGGTCCTTGGGTTTACAAATGTCCGGCCAACTAAACGTATGGTACTTCTGTTTGTCATCGTCGCCAGCCAATAGAACCTGGATTGGTACTTGGCAATTTTCGTGTGCAGCGTTTCATGGAGGCTATAAAAGCTCATGAGGAACCAAAGAAGGCTAGCGAGTGAGGAGTTGATGAGAATCACACACGCAGCCTTCGATAGCCAACACCCTTTCCAAGGTTCGATGCGGTGCTGCATACGGGTCATCGTAGGGCGGAGGTCCGCCAAGGTGAGGCACGAGTCACTAACGGGGATCCCCAGGTAGGTCGTGGGGAAAGAACCCAGCCGACGGTTAAGACGGTCAGCAATAGCCTGAGCTTCCACCGGAGGGTAGCCTAGAACCATCACTTCGCTCTTATCGAAGTTGATCGTTAGGCCCGACATCTGCTGGAAGCACAGGAGGAGGAACTTCAGGTTAGCCACGTCCTGAGTAGAACCTTCCACCATTATTATGGTGTCATCTGCGTATTGAAGGAGGGAGACCCCTCCCCCTCCGACTAGGTGGGGGACAATGCCACGGATATGGCTGGCACCCTTGGCCTTATCCAGGATGGCGGCCAGAGCATCCACCACCATGTTGAACAGGAAAGGCGAGAGCGGGTCACCCTGACGAACCCCACAAAGAGTGGGGAAGTATGGTCCAATCTCGCTGTTGATGTTAACCGCAGTCCGCCCACAGGAGACTAATTGCATCACGCGAGTCACCCAGTGGTCGTCAAAGCCCTTACGCAGCAGCACTTCCCGAAGGAAAGGCCAGTGGACAGTATCATAGGCTTTATGAAAATCTAGCTTCAGGAAGACAGCGCGATGATGTTTCACCCGGACTTCGTGAAGGACTTCATGGAAGACCAACACGCCATCTAGAATAAATCGGCCTTGGATGAAGGCCGATTGGTTCGGGTGAGTGATCGAGTTAGCAAGCAGGGTCACCCTATTGGCGTACCCTTTGGCCAGGATCCGAAATATCACGTTAATCACAGTGATGGGACGGAACTGGCGAATATCAGAGGCGCCCGGAACCTTTGGGATGAGGGTAATGATCCCATAGTTGAGGCGTCCAAGGTCCATAGAGCCCGAATAGAACTCCTCGAATAAGGCCATGACCTCCAGTTTGACTGTCTGCCAGAACGTTTTAAAGAACGTAACAGGCAGTCCATCCAGACCCGGGGCCGAGGAGGGGTTCATATCTTTAATGGCCGCAAGGACCTCGTCTTCGGCGAAGGGGGCAACAAGGGCCGCGTTGGCCTCGTCGGAAACCAACTGCACCCCCGTCCAGGTGTCGGGGGCGAGACTAGCCCCACCCCGAGGGGTGGGGGTAAAGAGGGCTTTGTAGAAGCCGTCTACATGAGCCCGAATGGCCGCGGGGCGGACAAGGGGGACGTCATCCACCCATAAGTAGTGGATGGAGTTTCTTCGGCGTCGGCCATTCGAAACTGCCTGGAAATAGGCAGTGTCCGCATCGCCACGGAGCACCCATCGCTGGGTACCACACACCCTCCAGTATGCCTCCTCATCGGTGTAGATGGAGGATAGCCGATCCTCAAGATCATATCTCAGCATCCACTCATCCGGAGAAAGCCCAGAGGAATCGGCCCGAGCGTCCAGAGCTTGGATAGCCAGCAGGAGAGATCTTTTACGCTCGTGGAGGTCACAGCCAAGATTGGCACCCCAGCCCTTCATGAATTGGCGGGCAAGCTTGGCGCGGAAGTGCCAAGAGTCGACGGCGGACATGGAGCGATGGGGAGAGGCGCGGGCAAGTGTCCAACAAGCCGAGACCGCATCCCGAAAGCTGGCCTGATTGAGCCAAAAGGACTCAAACCGAAACCGAGACGGGCAGGGGGGCGCTCGTCCGCGGAGGATAGGAGGAGAGGGACGTGGTCCGACCCAATGCGGGTAATCGCCCGTAGCGAGGTCAGGGGGCACCTCAATTCCCATTCTGGGGAAACTAGGACACGATCTAGCACGGATTGTGTCGGGTCGGCCTGGCGGTTAGTCCAGGTAAATCTCGCCCCCGTTCTCTCGATCTCTCGGAGGCCGAGCTCCGCGATCCAGTCATTGAACAACTGCATCCGGGGGAGGTTAATCCTATCAATATTCTTCTCATCCGGAGAACGGATGAGGTTAAAATCTCTGCCCACAACTACTGGGAGGAGGAAGGCGGAGATCCTTTGGTGGAGCTCCGCAAGGAAGGTCGGGGAACGGCGGTGATCCGCCGGACCATAGACAATCACGACCTCCCATTTGAAGTTCAGGGCCCGCTCAAAGATCTCCATACTAACGAAGAATTCGCCCCGGTCCATGGTGCCCACCTTGAAGGTGGCATCCTTAACCCCCAAGAGGATGCCACCGGAGTGGCCCGTGGTCCCACTAGAAGGGAGCCAATGCCAGGCGAAAAGGTGGGAGCTGAGGCAATCAAGCTCATGGAGGAAGAACTCGGTACGCATGGTTTCCTGGATCGCAATGATGTCAATGTGTTCGTCGCGTATGAACTCGACGAGTTGGCGGCGGCGGCCATCATGGCTGAAGCCGCGGATGTTCCAAAAAAGGGACCGCATCTAAACCCCCATCGGGGGGCTGCTTGACCCCAGAACACGAGAAGCGCTTTGGGCGCGGAGAGCAGCAGTGCGGGACCGAGTGCGCCCATGAATAGCCCCGTCGACCACCGGAGGGGGCTGACCAGCGATACGTGCAGTCTGCTCCTCAGGGGTCCTACGTAGGCGAGCCCGAGTCTCAGCCAACTTGCCATCAAGGATCTCGCGAGCCCTAATGGCCGCGATCTGCTCTAAGGGGGGACCCACTTCCCCCCTGAAAACGATGGCCGAGTCAGTGGCCACCTTGGCTAGGTGTCGAAGAGGAACGACCTCAAGCACGGAAAGGGAACAAGAAGAACTGGGAAGGGTGGGATCCACACCTGACTCGAGGTTCCGGGAAGCCGCCCGGATCTCAGCCCGCTCGGCGATGGACGGGACCGAGGCATCGGCCGGGCGAGCCGCATCAAGGCGGGCGCTGCGGCGAGACACAGTCACCGACGTCGAGGAGGAGTGGGGCCGCCTGGTGTATGCCACCGTCTGAGGAGGGACCGCGGAGACTGGCGAGGTGACGACCACGGCCATCGCCGAAGCCAGGGAGGCCGGGGAGGTGGGGTGGGCGTCGGGGGCCACCAGCGGGGGGAGCGGGGCAACAAGCTCCAGGGTGTCGCCCAACATTTCCCTCGCGGGCGGGGGCACTGGAGAGGGCTCGCCGAGGGGTGGGGTACCGCCGTCACCACCCGTGAGGACCAGGGGGGTCGGAGCCGGGGGGGACGGTGGT